TGGAGGGATGGGGCATCACATCAGAGGCTGTGTGGGAGAGGAGCAAGCAACTAACTACTCATCTCAAAAAAGTCAAAACTCTTTAAAGTATGTTGGGTCATTACTTGCCATAATGTTACAAGAAAGGACGTTGAGGAGCTTAAATGGTAAATCCTTTCGATTGATACTCAAGGAATTGTCTCAACCAACAAGTGTCTTTCGGTTTTTTTTTTTTTGTAAATGGTTTTGGGATTAGCTCAGTGGATAAAAGGAGTTTTTTTCTTGCCAACTCAAATTTTTTATTTTTTATTTTATAAAGGAAGTTATTGTCTAAAAACAAAAGGAGAGATAATAAATATTAAATTTTAAATTTTAAACTTATTATATGTTGTCTTTAAAAATAATTATATAAATTAATTCAAATTTAACTTTTAGTAAAAAATATATCAGAGAATAAAATCTTAAATGTAATTTGTTAATGACACTTTAAGGCAATCATTCTTGAGCATCATAGGCTAACCTTTTTTTTTTTTTTTGGTAAAACAAAAAGGCCAATTATACAGGGAGAGGCAAAGCAATAGCCTAATGTCCAAACTTGAACTCTCCGGTCTTTTTTTTTTTAATTCTTAATTCACCTTTAAATCTTTTTATTTTATTATTTATTTAATTAAAGAGAATATTAATATATAACTTATTTTGAATTCGTAATCTTTAAATATAAATTTTAATAATATATCAATTGATAATCGACATTTTATTAAAACTATAATTTGGAATTTATAGTTGAAATTATAGCTGTAATTAGATTCATATTTCATCATTGGTGATTTGAGAATTCCGTCCATGGCATGTAGAGGCCTAAACTTCTTTTTGGGCTGAGATGAAATGCTTTAGATTTTAAACCAGGAAAGCTATTAGGCCTGTGAGTCAGTGGAATAATGGTTTCAAACAACAGCCCAGACCCAGAAGGACAGAGGGCTTAAGGACTCATGAAAAAAAACCAGGTGAACGGCATGAGTGGTCAGAATATTCTAGATACCTTTGTCGCATGTTGTCACTTTTTCACGGAGGGGAACAGAACAGAAACACAGTGAACAGGTACATCAGCAACCGTGTGGCTCACATCTCCAACAATTGGGTGGACTTGACTCGGTTTCAGCCAATTAGCCAACTCTGAATAAGACCCAAGACAAACTCCATGACGTGTGTCATTGTGGCTTTTTTCTAGATCACTTTGCATCTTCACCACAGATTTTTTTTGCAGACAGAATCACCCTAGGATTATAAGATTTAGAGTCCTCTCATTTCCAGGATTGTTGCCAAGTTGAAAACCTACGGAAGATGGTTAAAGATATAATACTATTATTTTTATTGAAATATCTTCTTTTTGTTTACCTAATTTTTGTTTCAGTCTTACAATGTTGAGAAACAAGTAAACTACCAATAATTTGGATTTTAAAAAGGATTTTAAAAACTATCGTAAGAGTTTGGTATTTCAAATTATCCAAATTTAAACTCCTAATAAAAAAAATTAAAAATTTAACCATCTTTCAATAAATTATACAACTACATTTAAGAAGGGTGCAGCGTCAAACTTTTGGCACAAAGAAATACTTTTCCTCGTGTCCCACAACTTTTTGGCTGTTAATTTCAGGGCTTATAAAAGACTGCTTGATAGAAGAAAATAAAATTTATGCATAAAATTATCTCCCAACACAAAAAAACAAGTACAGAACGACGTGGGCATTCTCATTGCCTGTGACTAGCTCTCGCACCACAACCATATCTGTGTCCTTTAAAAGCACAAATAGGATGCATTAAAAGAGAAAAGAACAGTTTAAAAAACCTACCACACTCTCTCCAATATTAAAAAGATATCTGAGATAAGAAGAAATTGATCTATGGCTCAAACGGTGCTACTCATGTCTAGTACTAGTGTTTCAACTAGTCATGTAGTGAACTTGAAGAGAAACCAACCTTTACTCCATTTCCAACCTCAAGGATTAAAGCCTAAACCCTTCTCTCATTTCTTGTTCAATCCACCTTCTAATGGTGTTGCTACTTCATCTAAAGCTTTTACCACTTTTGCAATCTTCAAATCAAAGACCAAAGCGGTTCCCAAGAAGGTATTCTTTTTTAATTCCTTCTGGGTTTTTTTTTTTTTTTTTTGGGTGCCATGAGTATCTTTTAATGGGGTTTAACTTGATTTTAGTTTTATTTTTTTTTAATTCCAAAAGGTTGCACAAAAGCCAAAGGTTGAAGATGGAATCTTTGGCACCTCTGGTGGGATTGGTTTTACCAAGCAAAATGAGCTCTTTGTGGGACGTGTTGCCATGCTTGGCTTTGCTGTAAGTAATTTTCTTAAGAACTTCGTTTCAAGCAAGCAATATAATTGGTTTAGTTAGCACTTGGCTAGTCTAACTTTCCTGTGTTTTTTTACAATACTGCCTGAAAGAAACATTGTAATTAGAAAAATATCCCGAATCTGCCACGTGTTAGAAGAAAAAAAATTTTGTATTCACTAGTTTGACAAAATATTATTTAGAAATATCCTATTTAATTGCAGAAAACTCTCACTAATTAATTAAGTAAAAAATCACGTAATTCGTAATCATATCGTAATATTATATATTATTCTAATTATAACATCATAATCCATAATGTTATGTGTTGACTACATAATTTCATAATATTACGTTTAGATTAACAATTTGCTTGAAAATGGTTTCATTTTTTCACAATGATAAGTCGGAGGAAATTATTAGTTAAGTTTCGTGAAAGCAAATTTTTGTTTGTAGTTAGTGAGGAAGGTTGAATAAAATAAACTCTATGATCAGCTAGTGTCATGAATTAGAGATTTGATTTGCTCCTTTGGTTGTTCAAATAATACATTGTTCTTAAGTGTTGGTGCTGTTCTGTTAGAAATGTCAGCTTGTCCCACTGTTTTCCGGGCAGTGAAAAACAGAAAACAAAAAGGGTAGAGTGATTAATTTATTACCGGAGAAAAAACTGAAATGTCGTATTGTCTAGTGAAAGTAAAATGGGGAATGCATTTCACTTTTGGTGCAATCTTGCAGGCATCCTTGCTAGGTGAAGCAATAACAGGGAAAGGAATTCTAGCACAGTTGAACCTGGAGACTGGAATTCCCATCTATGAAGCTGAACCCCTTCTTCTCTTCTTCATTCTTTTCACCCTCCTTGGAGCAATAGGAGCTCTGGGTGACCGAGGTCGCTTTGTGGATGACCCTCCTACAGGTATTGAAGGAGCAGTTATCCCTCCTGGCAAAGGCATCAGGGGTGCATTGGGTCTCAAGGAAGGAGGTATACGTTACGCCACTCCCAAAAAAAAAAAATCCAATTTAATAAAGTTGGTAGACCTTATTTATTATTATTATTATTATTATTTTGTACAAAGGAGGATGCAATTTGGGATTAAAAAAAATTTAGGTATTGAGATTTGAATTTAGATCTGTTTTATATTAAAATGATCGTATAAATCAACTGAACTAAATAAATTCAAGATTTATTTAATTAACAATCTAACATGTTAGAACCAAAGTTCAATATTTCGATATGATCATGCCATGGCTTGTGTTCTAAAGGATATTGGTCTGTTTTCTTGTGCTTTGGTATCAGGTCCATTGTTTGGATTCACAAAGTCAAATGAACTGTTTGTTGGAAGATTGGCTCAGCTGGGTATTGTTTTCTCATTGATAGGAGAAATTATTACAGGGAAAGGAGCTCTGGCACAACTAAACATTGAGACAGGAATCCCTATTAACGATATTGAACCCCTTGTGTTGTTCAACGTTGCCTTCTTCTTCTTTGCTGCTATAAATCCCGGGACTGGTAAATTTTTAACAGATGAAGATGAAGAGTAGATGCCCGTTGTTATTACAGATTTTATGAGCAACTTGTAAAATCATGATACTATTTTTCTCTCCCTTTATCTCCTGTCTGCCTTTTTGCATCAATGGATTTCTTAACTCAATTGGGCTGCATCCACATTGCTTTAAACAACAACAATAATAGAATAGAGGAAAAAAAAAGATGGACGGTAAAATTTAGCAGATGCGAATTGTGGAAAAAAAAAATGAAAAAGATTACAATTTATAAAGAAGCACACCTTCAAATTGAAATGACAATTCATATATTTATGTTTATTTATTTTGTATATAACACATGTAAAATATAAAAATTATCGTGTTATTATTTATAATAAAATATCAAATATAATTCACTTTTATTTTTATCAAAGTTATATATAATTTTTGTTAAAATTTTAAATTATATTTTTAATATATTTTTGGTACCATTTTTTTATTATATTATTTTGTTGTAATTAGAATTATGATATCTACCTCCGAACTCCAAAGACATTTAAAAATACATTTAAGAATACAAGACCCTTTGTAGTATTGCATTTAGGTTTAAAAATAAAGGTTTTGAACACAAAAAAAAATGTTAAATATACTATTGTTTGTGTTAAAAACATTTTTTATAACTAAAAGTAAGCTAATTGAAAGATGTAATTGAGATTTGAAATTTATGGTTTGAAAATAAAATAATTAAATATTCACTTAATTATTTATTTTTAACAAAAATAATTTTTTTCTTTATAATATTATATCCTTTTTAAACATTTTAATTTTTTACATCAATATTAAACACTCAAAAATTTTAATAATAAATTTTCGCAATAAATTTTCATAACACTTTTCAAAAGTATTTTTTTCAAACCAAACTTTTTTCAACACACTAATACTACATTAGGCATCAAAGAATTAGATTCTTTATCCTACACGATTACATCTAACAGAATCTAAAACAGAAAAAGCAGTTATCTGCAGGGAATCCGAATCCTGAGAGAAGGGTTTTGGAATTCCTGGGATTTGCCACTAACTAGCTAACCTTTTTTATTTTTGAAGGTCTTAAGCTTGTGTCGGTCGATTATCAAAACACTTTAATTTTATAGCCGACCATGCCTTTGAAACATGGACAACGGGAGCAGTGATTTGTCCGCGTAGCCGTGTGTTTGAATTTGTGTCACGTAGTTCTGCTCTTAAAAAAAAAAAAAAGAAAGAAAGAAAGATAGAATTGGCTGCCAACCCGACAATTTAACTTCTGAAAAATGGTAATATAACCACGTCATCACTAAGAAAAGGACAGCCAAAACCTCGAAGATTCTCCTTTTTCTACAAGGAATTCTCTCCTCTTATCTTCGAACTGCTTCTGTTTTGTATAAAATTTTCTTTTTCTTTTCTCTAACTCAGCCCCTGAAGATTGAGCAACGATCAGGGGGACACATTCCTCACCCAACTCAGCAGTTAGCATCTCAATTGGAACTTAGAAGTTGGTCTTGTTTAGCACCGTCAGCTTCAAAGTCTTAATCAGAGCTGTTGATTTTGTGAGAAGAAGAAAAAATAATGGAGAATCCCCATCACTCTTTTTCTTTTGCTTCTCAAAGACATGTAACTTACAGGTTTGTTCTTTCTGGGGTGAATTTTGATTGGTTCTTTTGTTGAATAGGATGTTTCAAATTTTGGATTTTGATTTCTGGGTTTTGTTTGTTATGAGATTTTTTATTCTGGGTTTGTTGTTTTTTGTTGATTTATGAAGGAAGTTGAGCACGTTGACTGTGTCTGTTTTTTCCTTTGTCTCGATTGATTGTAAAGCAGGGGAGAGATTTAGATTAATAAAGAGTAAATTATTAAATGTTAGCTGGAGTACAAAGCTGAATTTTAAATGAGCTTTCCATTGAAAGAAAATCTTTATAAGAATTAAAATTGGTTGTTAATGGGACCACCTGGGATGACAATGTTTAAATAGAAATCTTCAAAGATAACAGAAAAAAAAAAAAAAAAAAAAAAAAAAACCTATCCCGTTTTACCATTGGAGTGCTTATTTATCTTAGTGAAATTGGCTTAGTCACTATGATTTCTATGCAAAATCAGTACCATGGTGAATGTTAATGTTGCTGCAGTTGTAACCTACTCGATCAATGTTAAAAATTATGAATTGGGGAGTTTGGGCTTAGGAATGAGCTAACTTCTCTGCGTTTTGCTTTTCTTGTTATATTATTCTGGTTGTTACTGGCTGATGATATTTATCATAGAAAACATATTTATTACAGGTTTATTAGGATGTAGGTGAAATGATTGTCTATGTTATTATGCATTTATGGTAACTTCACTTCTTCAGGTACTCTGGCTTGCTTGATAGTTGGTAGATATAGTAATGAAACATCTGAAGATTCATTTTTTATGGGTTGCTCAGTTGTATTTTGATTCCTTTCGTTTGGCTGTTACTACAAGTACTTAAATTTCTGTAACTCATCTGCTCTGTTTGACCTAGATTATTGAAGGCAGGCGATTAACTCAGATGGGATGGTTATACTGAAATAGGTTTACAGTTTCCTATTACTTTGGCATTTGAAAATTGAAATCTGCAAATTCTTTCATTTGAGTAGTTGACAGTAAGAATTAAAGTGCTAGTACAACCACTTTTATGTGGTCAAGAATTGTTAATTCTAAAGTTCTTTATGATTGCAATGACTACAGAAAAAATCGGAAAGCTTCTGTGATGCTTCCAATATCACAAATTATGATGCCTTCCTCTGTAAACCTTCTGATGTAGTAATATGTTGAAAAGGGAATAATTGTTGAAATTCTAGTCTCCTTGTTTTCAGTAACAGATCTGTAAGACAACATAAGCAACATATGGAATATATATGATATAGGATGATTGCAATACCTCATGAGTTACATTTCTGAAGATAAAATGGTGGAATCAATTCTTTCTTGCAGCTGTGGTTCTTGTGGGTATGAGCTAAACCTAAGCTCCTCTAGTCGAAACACGGCAACAATTGGTTCTAAATATGGAAAATCTATAAAGCGAGGGATTATATCATTCTTCAATATAGATGAGAGCAGATTTACACAAGTTGATGAATTCCAATGTGTTCCCTACTTTTCAAAGCACTCGTGGGGTTTGTTCCGCCGTAGAACCAAACTTCTCTGCCGCAAGTGTGGCAACCACATTGGAAATGCTTTTATATTAGGTGGATCTGATTCACCCTCTGGTAATGAAGTTTCTGGCCATAGAAAATATGATGTTAGAATCCGTGCGTTACAGCCTTCATCTGCTGAAGAACTTGGCACTCCACTTATTGTGTGATTTACTAGAATTGTCTTCCTCATTATGGGATTCAATTGCATTATCACAATGAGGATTATATTGGGGATTTTCTTGTGGGATTACTATTGTCTATAGTGTTTTGAGTCCTTTCCTTCTATGTTTCTTTGCTGTTGTTTTTGTTAAAATTAATGTCCTCTCAATATTTCATGGTAAATCATGTACAGAAAAGTATATCAATGGAATGTAATGTGGAGTTTTCAAGGGGTCGAATCGGGTGAGCAAAGTAACCTCATTTTTCACTGGAGTTTATTGTGTAAATTTAACGTAGTAATAAAATATACAGCAAAAATTTCAACATCAACCGGTCAAATTGATCTAATTTGTCAAGGCCAAGATATCTATTTAGGCTGTGTGAAGAAAATTCTACATGTACCGTCGCACTTCATAAACCAAACACCTCTTCTTTTGATTAATGCTTTCCCAACAGCATACCCGTCTTTATTGTACTCACGTCCAAACAAGCCATATCCCTCTTCTTTTTCATGCTCCTCCAACTCCTACTCCATGCAGCCATTTTGAACCCCGTCGTCTAGGCACATAAACACTGTAATATCGCAGCTCTCTATAACTTAGGCGACTCTAATTCGGACACTGGCGGATATGCTGCTGGCTCTTATACTCCCACGTCTCCTTAGGGAGATACCTACTATCACATGCCTGCCCGCCGTTTCTCCGACGGGCGGCTCGTCATAGATTTCATAGGTATGTAATATCTTCGTTAACCATTATTATTGGCGCAAGTTCGCACAGATGAAACGATGTTGAAAGAGAAAGAAACGAGTTTTCATGTACTGTACATTGTTTTGCTAGTTTCTATTAGAAATATAATTTCTTGTACGTGTGATTAATGTTGGATTTTTCATGGTTAAAAGTTGTCTCGTTTACTTTTTTACTTCTGTTGTGTCAGCTGAGGCATTTGGTCTCCCATTTATTAATGCATATCTTGATTCACTGAGAACTAATTTCTCCCACGGTATGAACTTTGCCACTGCAGAATCTACATTCAGATTACCGAATAGGATTATCCCTAATGGTGGATTTAGTCCAATCTATTTGGATCTACAGTACTCAGTTTGAGCAATTCAAATCCAGATCACAATTGATTAGGGAACGTGGTGAGTATCTATTTAAGTACCATCTTTAATCACAATTTTTCTATGGAAGTTGATTTCAATTGGTATTATCAATATTTGCAGCAAGATTTCATTGCCAAGTTTTTGAAGATCTTTTGCATACATAGGAGGGTTGCTTGCAAGTTTAATGCCCAAGGAAGTGTATTTTCCAAAAGCTTTATACACTGTTGATATTGGCCAAAATGATCTTGGAGAAGGGTTCTTGGCAAACATGACAATACAAGATGGTTAATGCTTTAGTTCGCGATATAATCAACAAATTCTCAGCAAATATTAAGGTAATCCTATTGAGTGATTTGATTCATAGTTCTAGAAGTTCATCTCTCTCCCCCCCCCCCCCTAAAACCCTAATTTTTTGAACAATTCAGGGTTTGTATGGAGTTTGATTTTCATTTTGTTCTATTTTTTGCAGAATATATACAGTTTAGGAGCAAGATCATTTTGGGTTCACAGCACAGGACCAATTGGTTGCTTGCCTTACGTTCTGACTGCTTTTTCCTCACCAAAAAAGGACTCTGCTGGTTTGCTTAAAGCCTCCTATGAAGTAGCTCATTTTTTTAATCTCAAGTTGAAGGAGGCAGTAGCCTAACTCAGAAATGAACTTCCTTCGGCTGCATTCACATATGTAGACATCTACTCTGTCTAGTATTCCCTGTTGGCTAAACCCCAAAAACACCGTATGCCCCTAGACTGCATAACATTTGCTGATTTTTTTCCTAAAAAGAAATAAAGTTTTATATGGGCTAGTTTATATCTGATTCTGAATTATTTCCAGGATTTGAGCTTCCCCTTGTGACATGTTGGTGCTATGGAGGCTAGTACAACTACAGCACTGAAGTTCTATGTGGAGGAACAATTACAGTTAATGGTACCAAGATATTTGTCGGTTCATGTGATCGTCCTTCAGTTCATGCAGTTTGGGATGGAATTCACCATACTGATGCAGCTAACAAGTTTGTTTTTGATCAAATTTCCACCAGATCGTTCTCAGATTCACATGTTCCTTTGAAACGGGCTTGCCAGAGAACTTCAAATGAAGTTTTTGTGAAGCATAGAGACATGAATAAACCAAAATCTAACTAGTTACTATTGTATGTAATGTAAATAAGTGTCTACCTCATTGCTGGAGAATACGTTGTTATTATTGGCCAAAAGTAATAAAATTTACAGTTGTATATCAGATTTTCATCATCAGTTCTGAGATAATACAAGTCTGCTTCATTTACTCAAACATGATGGTGATATGGTCCCATACTAGAGGGGTAGCATAAAAGTGGCCAAATTCCAGGAAAAATCAAAGATTGCCCTTTTCAATATTTGCATCACAGAAAGTTCAAATCCTTCTCTAAGAAACATCGAAGACACTATCCTAAACCTTGTAATTCTTTTTTTTTTGTTACATCATGAAGGTAAAATTTTAGTACAAGTAAAGAAAATGAGAAGATCTAATTCAAAATCAGATCTTTGATGTCCCTTCAAACATCTTTAACAATTAAACTAAAAGCTTGATCTCTTAAACCTTGTAATTCTTACAGTAGGAACATTATCAAAGGAATAAGATGTTTGTTTCCTTAAAATATGTATAGTATACACGGCGGAGATAATATTTCATTTATAGATTCCATGACATTATATATAATTGTTGGTTTGATTATAATATCTAATTTATAAATTTATTCAGTAATTATATGTCATGAAACAGCAAATTTTGGCCCAGAATTAGTAGGCTGAACGAGTCTGGGCCCTAAGATCCTAGCTAAACTTGGAGCTAAATGGGCTTGGCCTTGCCCTTGAGCCATGACACATTGGCACTAAGATATGACAATTGTCTTTTTTCTTTCGGCCAGAATGAATGAAATCCTATGGTGGCAAATGTTGCAGAATTTATACAAGTTGAGGGCTAGATCATTTTGGATCCACAATACAGGTCCAATCAGTTGTCTATCGTATATTTTGGTCAACCTGCCAACCAATGCAGCAGCGCAAAAGGACAATGCGGGCCCTGCAAAATCTCATAATGAAGTGGCTTCTGTATTTTAATCAGAAACTGATGCAAGGGGTTGTTCAATTGAGAAACAACCTTCCATTAGCTGCAATCACTAAACGTAGACGTTTATTCAGTCAAGTATTCTCTCTTCAGTCACCGAAAGAAGCATGGTCGGTTACTCTTCTCCATATAAGAAATTATTAACAAATATTAAATCAGTTATTTAGCTAAAAATGCTTTCTTAGGAATAATTTCTAGGATTTGAGCATCCATTGCTGGCCTGCTGTGTCTATGGGGGCAAGTACAGCTACAGTAACTGCGTCATCTCAAGAGGAATTGCTGTGAATGGCACCAAATGCCAGTCGGTTCATGTGACCGCCCCTCGCTTCAAGTAAATTGCGATGGAATTTACTATATAGAGGCAACAAATAAATTTGTTTTCGGTCAAATCTCGAGTGGAGCCTTCTCAAGTCCACAACTTCCACTAAAAAATGGCATGCCACAGGGCTTCAAAGGAATAAATTAAATATAATTTACATAAATGGATGGAGGTCACTACACTGAGGCAGCAAAAATTTTGTTTTTGATCAAATTTCCACAGGATCTTTTCTCAGATCTACTTGTTCCCCTGAAAAGGGCCTGACAGACGACTTACCATTAACCTTAACCAATGGTGTCCTGCCTGCCAGTACATATGTTGTTATTGTTTGCCAAAAGTAATAAAATTTCCAAAGTCATATCTCTAACAAGTTATATCAGTCTTCAGACCTATATATAAAGCTACTTCATGTACCTGAACATTATGGTCCTATGTCCAGAGAGGTTACATTAAAGTGAGAAAATGCAACATGGATAGAAACTGCAAGTGTCACCATCTATGGATAAGTCAAACAAGGCTGCACGCCCATTTGGAATACATGTATGCATTACAGAAAGTTCAAATCTTTCTTTAACCATCTATGGTGAAAATAATGTTAATGCTGACATTTGGAACAGATCCGAAAGGAAAAGTCAGTCTGCCGACATGTTTTTTTCCCCGAGAATGCACGTTATCCCATAGGGGATTGTAGCCGTCCAAAGCTATGTTATAGGCAGAGACATTATCTTCCTTTTTCAAGGTGATTGGCTCAAAAAGAAGATAAACCTGTATTTCTTGGCTGTGATGGTCCTGCCAGGCCGAACAAGTCCAAGCATCAAAATTGTAACTTAGGTGCTAAATGGGCTCTATCCATTCTTGCTGATAGCCACACCTTATCGAAAAATTGATTATATAAATTAATTAGATTAAATTTTTGATTAATTTTGATTTCAATAATTGTGAGTCTAACTCTTTTTTATTTTCAAACTTTAGGAAATTTTGTCTTCCACATTTTTTTGTTCAGTCTGCCATGTCAATGTAGCAGCCATACCTGCTATCCAAAATATCAGAAGGATGCGGCTCAGTATTTGATCAATCAAAAACAAAACCAAGTTGTTCTTCAATTCTGAAAGAACCTTTCATGGTTAAGTCAATCTTTAATCCGTCTAACCCCCAAGGAATTATTGACATTAAAACTCAACCATCGTATAACTCTAAGACATCTCTGATACTTCTAGTTTGAAACTATGATAAACAAACCAAATGATTTAGCTGACAATGCTTTCTTCAAATTTCTTGGATTTGGGCAACCATCGGCAGCAGAAGCAAGTATAACTATGGCAGCAGCATTAGCAGTGGAATGATTGTTATGAATCGCATCCAACAATCAGTTAATTCATGCGATTATTTTTATGGAACTCATCGTACAAATGCAGCAGACAATTTTTTTTCAATCAAATATTGACTGGGACCTTCTCAGATCCACAAGTTCTGTTCAAATTGACTTGTCAGAGGGCTTAAAGTATTGAACATATACAACAGATGCAACGTTACGTTATTCAAATTTTCTGTCTATTCATTATTGAACCTTAGTAGAGTTGAAATTAGCATTTATGGAAAATTGTAGCATTCCCCCTTATCAAAATTTTGTCATTGCCAAAGTAGAATTTTCTCAGCTAATCAATCTGTTCAGGTCGGTCCAATAATCAAGTTTGGGCCTCTAGATACAGTAATTTATTTTTCATGAAAAGCCTCAAAAGGAGATGTTAACATAGTAGGACAATATTATGCTTAATCATATGATAATAGATGCATGCCACCAATAGAAATGTGTGGTCCAATCAAATGTAATTGGCAATAATTTTATGAACAAAGATTTTAATTAAATCTGACATTAGAACATCAAATCATATAGTATTGTAGCCTTTTAGTTTGGAGATAATTAAAATTTTGTTATCGTAAATTGTTGGTTACTTTAATTTCAAATCCTAACATCATCAAGTGGTCCTGAACCTCTAATAAGAAATGAAAATTATTTTTGATTGTGATTAGATAGAATATTTTATATTAAACTTCAATCATAGCATGCATATTTCAGATCCCTAAGTTTGATGTAATGAAAATTGAATTTGCATGTCACGTAGATTCACAACAATAGCCATTATACATGAAAAATGCGTGCCTTCATTATCTTTCATCTTTTATTGCATAACTTATTCTTTGGTCCTTAAATAAATATAAATAAATTGAACTACCTACCAATTATTTTTACTTAAATTAAACCTGATAAAAGATATAGTTTAAATTTGATAATTTATATATTTTTATGATATTTATTTTATGTTAAATATAAATAAAATATAAAAATTATCGTATTATAATTTATATCAATATACTAAATACGAAACATAACTTTTAATATTTACGAAATTCATATATAATTTTTATTAAAATTTTAAATTATATTCTTTTTGTATATTTTTTCATATCTTTAAATTGTATCACGTGTTATATTTAAAATTAATAAATTTAGTCAAGTTCAATGGTTGTATGAGACTGCTTCAAATTTTCTCCATCCAAAGTTTGAATCAAAGTGGTGATTCTTGAACTCTATAGGTAGATTGTAATATGTGGTAGATCAATCATAAAATACTCGAATATCTGGTAAACAGTCTAACATTCGAAATTGAAATTTGAGCAGATATGACAAAAAGAAAAAGGAAATGGGTGAAGGAAAATGGAATGAGCCATGGCCTCCAAAGATAATCCAAATCAAAGATGTAATTAATTCGGTCACGGTAGCACAGTGTAAATGGACAAAGTAGGAGGGAACTTGGAAGTATGAAGTCTTGTTTACTTTGCTATACTTATAGCAGATCGGATTATTCGTATATTTATATCATATAAAATATTAAAATTTATATATTTATATTATATTTTAAAAAATTTTGTACTATAATTTATATTGACATAAAAATATAAAATATAATGTTTTAATTTTATTATATTTAATTATAATTATTATTAAAATTTTAAATTATATTATTTTTATATCTTATTTTTATTTATATTATATTACCGTATTATATTTTAGATTTTTAAGTTTAATTTGAGCTTTTGTCTCCTTTCCATACACGTGGGTTTAAAATAGAAAGAAGATTTTCACTGCTTTTTGCCCCTCTCAGTCTCTCATCTCTACATCCCAAAATTAGCATAAATTAAAGAAACTAATTAATGCATGTGGTAGAGCCCACAGCTCATGGAATACGGACTCGTTTCCATCACCCATCAAAGGACCGATTCGAGCCTATGTTATTGGATTACAAAACATTGAATTAATGCATTTACTAGTCTGTATTATTCTTTCACCAGATTTTAGTTAATCTGCTTTAGGGAGATCAGTTGGGGCCTTGGGGACACCAACAAAAACACAAGTAATTTAGACATACTGATTAAGGTATACGATATGGTACTTTATAATCAAACTTGTAAGCACAAACAAAATTGGTACTGTATTGCAAGGATAGATATAAGATGTGGCTCCTTGATTTTGGAAACTTTTTTCTTAAAGTATGTAAATCAGCAGGTCGAGTATGGTCTTCTCGAGGTGCAAACCATACCAAACTTGAGATTTTCTAGAACCATTTCCCTTCTTTTCTTTTACTTTTCCACTTTATGATTTTGGACCGTTGCCTTGCAGCTTGAAATGCATGCAAAAAAAGGAAAAAGGATGCATGTTAAGAAAAGGAGAGGAAAGTAAAGTCTGGGAATAGGCCTACCCAAGGTGCCTGAAGTCTTGAATGCTATATAATTTATGAATACTTTTGGTTACAATGGATAGAAATTTCAGTCTTTATGAGCTGTGACAAATTAGACAATGTGCCTCTTAAAGTTTGTTTGACTTCCAGAGCTTGCAAAAGAAGGCAAGGGCCAAGCCACCCTTTATCCTAGAACTAAAGAAACTAAAGCTGCTGCCCTTTTGTTGTTCTGACCAAGTTCTATGTATGGGTTTCGGTGGATGAAAGATTTGAGATGGTCCTCTCGGTCACCAACTTTCAACCAGTTCCACACAATCCCTCAACCCCCTTAGCCCCTCCACTGCTATGTTTTCCTTCAAATAAACTCATAGTAACTACTCTTTTAGGGAAAAATGGCAGAAAATTATTTGAAATTGATTTGAATTAATCAAAGTTGCCTAGTGTTGAAAAACTTGCTTCTCTATTTTTGTTATAGGAATAGAAAATTTCTTGTTTTCAAAGTCTTCTGGTCTGTAAATGTTTGTCAACATGCCCATTTTTAACTTTGAAATCTCTTTGCCTTGAAAGTTATTCAGGTTGAAAAATGCCTCCACCAGTCTTCCTGGACAGTTGGCAAATGATGGAGGAACAGCAGTTAATTTCAATAATTTCCAAATGAAGTTGACAAATGCTTTCTTCTAGCAATTGATGAACAAATATATACTAGTGCTACTTTATTTACAGGCCTAGGAAAAGGGAAAATTCTAGTGACATATTCCTTTGAAAGAAATGCAGCCATGAGTCTTTAATTTTCTTCTTTCTGATACTGTGCAGACGGAGGTGGTTGAAGATTTATGTCTGGTAATTTTCGCTCACTCCATTTCAGGCTTTTCTCAACATCCATTCTGGTCCTAAGTGCACTGGTCCCTTGCTAGAGGGTTAGAACTTGGGACAAATTGCCCTAGTGAAGGCTCTTGCTGAACAAACAAATGGGCCTGCTGGGTACTTCGCACCAGCTCAATGACTGGCACGTGGGGCAGAAATCCCCAAGAGCAATGATGAAAATTTTCAAAGTCTATGAAACATGTTATGGACACTAGAGGATTGATGACTCTTTACAATATAACTTAATTAGTTAAGAGATTAGAAGAAGGAACAAGATTCTCTCCCACCAAGACAACAATGAGACAAGTTGTGGCACTATATTTTGGGGGCATGTTGACCTTGTGAAATTATGCTCAAAATGTTCCTCACTTTGTGCAATTGACATGGTGGGTGTTTGCTTTTGCACTTCAAAGATCAGTATGGGAGAGAAAATATTTCTTTTGTATTAGGAACAGCTTGTTCTGTTTATCAGAATTAAGAATAGAATACAAGAAGAAGCCAATGAACTTTAAGGCAAAGCACTTTTGGGTGATAAAGTATATTTTGACTCTACCATCTCAATTATATAGAACTTTACAATCACAAATAAGAGCCCAACACACAAATTGGTATGGTGGAGGAAAGCTATAGTGCCCGTCTATATACATAAAACTCTTTATTATTCTTTGGTCCTCTTTGTCAGAGTCCTTATCCAGCCCTTCCTCATCACCTTGACTCCCTCTAACTTGCTGCCCGTGTGGCACACATTGGCCTTGCTGGACCTCTTCCACCTGATGAGATGGAACAAGTGGCCAATCCGCTTTTGCCACCTAAGTGAGGCACGTGGTTTTGCATGCTCTATCACACTCTTATTAGCCTCCTTTTGCTCCTTGATGAAGGTGGGGTTCCAGTTCATGCTGCAATGCTCAAGTGAGACCTTAGAAACTGTGCCCTTTTCCCATGAAGCAACACCATTTTCTTCAAACTTGATTGAGATAAAGGAGTCTGCAAAACCATGAAGCAACGTGCAACATATAGCCTCAAAAAAAGAAAAATGTAAAATGGAAAGCCATCTTTACCAAAATTTTATATGCTGAGGACATGATTTGATAGAATTGACACGAAAGGGGTCCCTCTGTGGATTCAGATTAGATGAATTTGTATGATCTTTGTTGTCTTTATTATTTTTGTTACTACTAGGAAGCTGAATGATTTGCATGATCCAACAAATAAATGGTAATGTTGTTTTCGTTACATCTGTAACGACACAACAAGAAAGTTCTGAAGTTTTCTGTTTGCATTACCTACCAAGTTCTGTGGATTTTGCAGATACAGCAGGTCAGAAAAAAAAGCCAATATACACAAATTATCTACAGAGTTGAATGGATTTTAAAATGCCCTAAAAAAATCATAGTATTTTCAAAGCATTCTTGCCAAGCATTTCTTTCAATTAATATATATATTTTTTTCATGATATTACCATGTAAAAGAAACACACATTTTCATGTAGAGTAACTGCTATCAGTTATGCTGGGGAATTACTTTATTATAAACATTATAAAAGGGAAAAAAATTAGAGGAAACACAAGAAAACAGGAAAAGATTCTTGATTTCCAGTTTTGCAATACTTTGACCGCACTTTTGTCAGTACACAGACAATAATTTTACACATAAAGACACACAAGCATGCATGTGATGCATATCTTTTTCATGTTATGTTTTGATTTAATTGATTTTCCTTTTGTTGATGGAAACTCAAGAAAAAATTTAAAAAAAAAAAAATTGTTTTTGCATGAACAAGTAAAAAAAACTTGTAGGAAAGGCGAAGAAATTAAAAGGTTAGTACCTTCTTGACTGGTTGAAGTATCATGATCATCAGAATTATCAGATTTCCAATGCTTGAACTCAAGAAGGTTAAGAAGTGAGCCTAAAGCAAAGATCTTGGGGAGGTGGATGGGTGGTTTTTTTTGTGAAATACCTTGAATAAAACTATGGCTGCCTCTGCTAGATGATGAAGAGCGTTGGCCTTGCCCTGAAGCCAAGATAAGAAGCCTGTCATTTAAGCACAAAGGGCAAACCCCAACAACCACTTCTTTAGGATGGAAATAGCAGCATGAATCGTCTTCACTATACCCATTCATTGGGGTATTCAGTAGTGTAAAGATGAGTGAAATTAAAAAAGAATTGAGCTGGTGTTTCTCATAGCTTATATTGTGGAAAATGTATGTAATTGGCCCCACCAACATATCAGTTTGGACAATATAATAGGTATGCAATGGGTTCCTGGACAGCCATCCATTCAGCCAGGGACATTGTCAGGGACATTGTTCTACTTTGAACCCAATGTTTTTTCTTAGTTGAAGCCAATTCTTTTGACTACCTAATTTAAGGACCGACGAGATTGAAAATAATGTTAATGTAACGATGAAATCGAAAATTGTAATAGTAATTTATTTAAAAATTTTCCAATAAAAAAATTCTAAGTGTTAGAAGCATTTTGTCTCTACATTATGCTATAAGGGTAAAGAATTATAAAAAAAAAAAAAAAAAGGAAAAGGAAAAGCAAGAGTATAATAAAAAGGTTGCGGGTAAAAGATTTAAAATCTTCATACAAATGGGTCATCAGTGTGATTGAAGGTGTGATAACGATCAATTAAGGATTCAACTTATATATCAAATTTATAAGAAATTTAATTTTTTATTCAAAGCATAGTTTGGATTTTTATTTAATATTTAATAACAAATAGATATTTTATATTTATATATTTAATTTTTTTTATAAAGATGTCAAATTTATATACTATCAAACTTATAAGGAATTTTATTTTTTATTCAAAGCATAGTGTACATTTATATTTAATATTTTATAACAAATAGATATTTTACATTTATATATTTAATTTTTTATAAAAATATCAATTTTGTAATTTAATATTTATTGAAACAGAGATGAATATGAATACTAAATTTTGAGAATAAAATTAAAGATGAAAATAATTTTGAAATACTCATCGAATAAGAAAATAAAAATGAATAATATATTACTCATTTTATATTTATGCTCATGTTAATAAATATATATAAAATTTTATTTATTTTAAATTATTATTGTTTAAACTTGTTTTAATGCGTATGTTGTTTGTATTTTTTTATTTTTTAATAAATATTAAATATTTTAATATTTATTTTTAATTTTTTAAAAAATTTTGAGTATAGAGAAATTTCACATCTCTTAAATCTCATAAAATGAGATGAATATAAAATTTTATCTAAAAGCCATTGCGGTTACAAAATTTTTTTTTAAAAATTTACTTATCCCATCTCTAATTTTTTTTTTTCAATATATATTCAATCAAACTCATTCCTCAGCTCAACGAGGCAAAAGAATATGTTTTTTTTTTTTAATAAATTGGAGGTCGTCAAATTTACTCGTGAAATTAAGTGTTTAACCTCTTAACAAAGATATTGTAAAGTTGTTGACAAAATAAAAATAATTATAATTAAGTGATTTTTGCAAAGTAAATATAAAAAGAATCTTGTCTTACTTTAAAGAATAAATCACAGTTTCTCTGATTACTTTCCCAATTTGTTGGTGAGATTGCCAATTTGAATATATATATATATATATATTCCAATTGGTTGGTGAGATTTCCATAATTTTCTTGATTTAGTAGTTGGGTAGCTAGTTTTAGAAATTTGGGGGTGAAAGTAATGAATAAAATTTAGCATCTCATGATAATGCAAAACCCAAGTCTCTAGAAAAACAGGTTGGTGCTTTGGATTGTGACTGTGGATTGAGTTAAATACTGAGACGCCCAATTGATTTGAGGCCATGTAAAGGCACAAGATGTAGCAAGAGACATCAGAGATTGGGAAAGCTCCTGTTTTGTAGTCCTTGGCATGAATCTTCTCGGCATGGGGTTTCCCAAACAATTACTATTTGACAAAAGGCCAGGCATTAATTAGATTGTTAGATTTTAATTAGGTCTATCATTTTACCTATTTTCTTCTTAAAAAAAAAATCAAATTGCACTATAATACTTTATTTGTAACATTCATGCATGTTAAAACCCTTTGCAATTTAGGAACATCAATTCTCCCTCTATGCCTTTTTTTTTTTTTTTTCTGTTTTCATTTTAAAACAAGTGATCCACATGATTTTTGCCACGATTGCAAGCATTCCTTGATGAACATATATTTTTTGTGCTCTTGCATATGTACGTGTGTAAAGGGAAATGAATATAAGATAAAGAAAGGAAGGGGATGCTTTGAACTTTGCAGTGTCCATGAAACACATCCTGAAAGGCTTGACTTAAAAAAGTGAAGGGAAACAATCAATGTAGCATTCACATGGGGAGAAGAAGGGGCTGTTTCCATTTTCGGTTGGCTTGGAGTCAAAGTTTCACATCATCATCATCATCATGGGACCAAATTTTGGCTCTGGGATTGTGGGTCTCCTTTCCCCACTCTAATGTGCTACTTTTTGTAGGCTGCTCCAAACACTTTTTCTTTTTTTTTTTTTGGAAAATTCTTATCTCCTTGAATCCCCTTGCTCTAATACTTGGCTTAGAAACCACAATCTCCTAACGCGAACTCTAATGATATGTCAACGGATTCAAATATGCATTTCCTTGCTTATGCCACTGCATTAGTAAGTCAAATAGATGAAACAGATTAATCATGTACGGTGCATTTTCGGGTGTCTCAATTAGTTGTATTGTACAAAGCCACAAACCAAACTCATTGCTCCTCGTTACTCTGTTTCCCTTTCCTCCTAAACTAAGCAAAATCTATTCTTCATTATTACATGACATGATTACAATTTCAGTTATATCATCAACTAGAAGAACTTCATAATTTAGATGACTAAATCTCTTAATGTACCCCTACAACATCGGAATTCAATTCAAATAAAAGAGTAAAACTAAAACTTTCCTTGCAATGGTATCGTGTTCCTTTCATCGTTTATGCAATGAAAAACAATTTCTTCTATCCATTTATTCACCTAGACTTTGAATCTAAACTTGAAATGAGAACCTTACCTTAAGCTCACAGTTTAAATCTAGGTTTGATCATATCATCAGAAACTAGTCTTCCATTCTTGAAGATTGGCAAAGTCACCAGTAAAAGCATCAAGTCCTGTTGAACTATGATGTATATAACTCAGCCAGGTCATCAGAGAAAGCTTTTCTAATGGCCTCTCTCTTGATCTTGAGTGCTGCAGTGACAAGGCCAGATTCTGGAGTCCATGGAGTAGAAAGCAATTTGATTTTTGCTGGAATCTCAAACTTCTCAAATCGTGACTTCTTGGCAATCTGCAAATAAAAGCAGCAATAGAAAGGAAGGGTAGGGATGCGAGGTGGGGGGCAAAAGAATCAGTGAAAAAGTAAAATCCAATTATACAAGCCACGATTCTCGTGTCAGCATAACTGTTACTTTCTCCATCAAAGACACCCTAAGGGTATGTTCAAAGTTAAGGGAATACAATAAATCTTTTATACATGGAAACACATGCACATTCAAAGCGTTCTTTACAACTGCATCAAAGCTAATTCAGCACTTGAAAAAGAATCCTTGAAATCCCATTCTACAACAGGTTAGGCAAATCACATTAGGTCGATAAAATTTGAGTATAAAAGTATTATCATAAAGGAGCGATCATAAACAGATGGCAAAAGTAAATGTCGCCACCTGACAGTTCTCCAAGTTTAAAGAATTTGTTGAAATATGTAAAATGTAAAGAGTATAAAATGCTGCAATTTGTTGCAAAAATACATGCATATCCAGGCACCCTCCCCAAAGCTTAAAACTTTTCTTTTAAAATTCTTTGAATAAATTTGAAGATTTCATAACATCAGGATAAATTTTAAATCACTGGATTTTATTCTAGAGAGTAGAGACATACCTGACCAAGAGACGAATATACTTCCTTGATAGTTTCTTCTTTCTCACTTAAGTCTGCAAAATTAGTAAAAGCAACTCCTTGCTTTGAAGCCCAATCTTCCACTGCATGCTGGGAAGCCACCACAAGAGCTACACAGTAACTATGGAATGGATCAGCATGCAACATAATATTGTCGACATAGGGACTGATGCTGAGAGCAGCCTCAACCTGTACAAGAAATATTAGTTACCGTGGAATATCTGAAGAACATCTTTGTTTCACTAGAAACATCCATTCACACCTTTCCTAAAGAGACATATTCCCCATGCTGAAGTTTGACTATGTCCTTTTTACGGTCAATTATCTCAAGGCAACCATCAGCATGAAACTGTCCTATGTCACCCGTATAGAACCACCTCATTATTCTCTCATCAACCTTTTCCACACCAAAAGATTAAAATAGTCAGTTTCCAAAAAGATAGAGAGGAGAAAGAAAGAGAGGATCTATTGTAGATAATCTTTAAAATAAAGAGAAAAAGAAAAGGAATACAGAAACTGAACGTTTGCAAGCCTACCTTGTACACTTCTTTTGTTTTTTCTTCATTTTTGAAGTATCCAAGTGTTACACTCGGACCACCGACCACTATTTCTCCACGAGGCATTGGTGAATCACTAGTTAAATATCCACCTTCAGGCCAATCTATTAACTGAAATAAACAAAGTGTAATGCAATACAATTGAAGTCAGAAATGTGTCCACCAACTGGAATAAGTAATCACATCAGTATGAGACGAGCAGAGCAATAATCCCACAACATTATCGTACAGAGAGCGGAGGCAAGGAGAAAATGAAGCTTTGATCACACAGAGGTTCAGCGACACACATGTGCAACTCACATATGGATGCCAAGTATTCACAGGAAACATTGATCAGATAGGCAGTGCTTTTAGGTAACAGATATACCACTTGGTGTGTAAGATACCAAAAGCAAAGTGATGCAGGGCAAGAACATTCACATGGAAAATTATAATGGAGACTTATTGCTTAGCACTGCCAATAATCAACTACATGTACCATAGAGGTCCATTCTTAAAGATTCCAGTTTCAACCAGCATAATGAGATTTTCCAGATTTTCATGGATTTTTACATTTAGAGAAAATTAAAATAACCCACTGGGTTGATTTCAAAGTAAAAGACACAAAATTTAACCACTAGATGGTGAAGAAAAGCAAAGATACTAACCAAGTCCCTTAGAATACAAAGCAAAGCACATGAGATGGTCAAAAGTCATCCCACTCAAACTAGTGAAAATAATCATAATAGCCTCTTACCTTAATAAAGGAACAAGGAAGTGAAGAACCAACACGACCAACGGATGTATCATCAACCTCAGAGAAGGTGGCACCAGCACAAGTCTCAGTTAGACCATAACCTTGGCCAATTGGAGCACTGAAAATTAGAAATCTAATGAGGGTATGATACTAAAAAAATTACATAAAACTGTGCAAAAAAGATAATTGTCAGTGTCCTTGCTGATGATAGTATCTCCATGGTGATCACACACCAAGAACCTATTTGTCATCCCATGCATTTCTGGTAGTTATAGCATATAAGCTACTTGTACACTAATCGAGTTTACCAACTAAGATAAAAAAAATAGACCTTCCATCCAAAGAATCTTCATGCATACCTATTTTCTTTAATTCAGACACATCATTTTGATGAATTGGTTTCTTAAGAAGCTTTCATTTGAAAAAATCGAATTAATGACATCTAAAATTTTCAAAGACAAATCCAGTAAAATATTTCAGTCATTCAAAGCTATCAGAATTGGGCCAAATTGTTTGGGAACAATAACATAACGTCATCTCCTATACTTACAGAAGCTTGTTTCTAATAATTGCCAACTCCAATAAATATGCCATTTGAATTTAACAATAAAGCACAATTCTTCATCTGATTACTTTAGGCAGAATTACAGTTGAACTAAATGCACTGAGCTTAAATTAATCCATGAGGAGGAATAACTCCTCTTGCTAAATTGTCAAGTTATGTTAATCAAGATTCCCATCCACAGATATAAACCCACATATCTGACACATATCCCTCCAAAGCATTCTTCGTGTCCACTATTTTTAATATATCAGCAGTAATTGAGGAAGTAATAGAAATTTAACCAAATAAACTGATTTAGACAATTGAGAACAAGGTCCAGGACCAGCTAGCAGCTTGAGAAGCAGATTTATGCACATAATTGAGCATCTGAGAAGCTTAGAAAAAAAAATCGAGAGTACTCTTAGGCTTCAGTTCTCTTTAATTATATCACTACTTCAAGTGTTTAACCCTGATAAGTTAAGATGAAAAGCAGAAGAAATCAATAAGCAGATCAAGATCTATATTAAGCATCTTTCTGTTGGACAAGAGGTTAGGTGTTCTTTGATAAATCATTGAAAATATTATTCATTTCAATGTGTTTGGTAACTTGTTTGGTAAACTACTTGATAGAATGTTTTCAATGAAAAAAGTTGAAAAATGTTAAGTAGTTACCTACTTATTGTATTCAGTGAATGTTATTTAAGATTTCCCTTTTATATCATTTGACTAAATTACCGCAATACTTCAATTAAAATTACGCCAGTCATTTTCCTTCTAACTCTTATTAGATGTTAAATTGCTATAAAATCATATAGATATTTTAGAAACCAGCACATAAAATTTTCAGTTCATCAGACAACACCATAACTAAATTTAGAACAGCAATTGTTATAGAACTAGAGAAATGTGTCTGTGTATTGACCGTGAGCTTGTATGTCTGAGTGTGCAAGAGCAGAACCAGAGGATCCATAAATTTACTCAAATTGCTAGAAACACACTAACCCAAGGCAGATGCTGATAAATCTCTGCGTATCTGCAGATAGAGGAGCACCACCAGATAGCAAAAATCGAATGTGACCACCTAGAATTGCTCGAACCTTTTTAAAGACAAAAAAGTCCCATAGAAACTTTTCCAGGCCCCAGGCACCAAACCAGCAACCATTTATTGCAGATAATCTACGGGAATAAGCCAAGTCAAACAATTTCTTGGATAGTCCACCCTTTGCATCTACCTAAAGTTAAGATTCAACAATGATTGAAATGAGCTTATTTTCACACACGCACACACATATGAAGAAGAAGAGGTCATATGTCTGCACATGAGGAATTTTCTAACCTTCTTTCGCACTCCATCTCGAACACGATCAAGAATTGCTGGGACAGCCGTCATCACAGTTGGACTTAACACAGTGGCATCCCCCTTCGTTCCTGCTTTTATTTTGCTAGATGTATCTGTGAGAGTCAATGGGGTACCATATCCTATGACACCTCCAACAGCAGAAATTAAATTCTACAATTGGAAAAAGAAAGTTAAATATGTTTAAACACACTGCAGGTAAACAAATAATTTGAAATATAATCAGAGGTCAAAACCAAGTTGTTGTTAATCTTTCTAATGCAATCCAAGACACCATACGTACCTCAGCCACTAATTCAAGAATATGAGCAAGGGGTAGATATGCCAGATAAACATCCTTGCTTCCAAGTCCAGGAACAATTGTCATGACTGCAGAAACAGTAGCTAGTACATTGCCATGTGTCATCATCACACCCTGGACAAATTTTATATATATGAAGTGGCTTAACAATATGGAAACCTAATCTTTGCCATTTTGCATATCTCAAAGATAACATCATGCTCACTACCAATCCATAAACCATAAGCATATTTTTACTTACAAAATCTATAAGGTAACAGAAGAACCAGAACCCAAAATAGACACTTCTAACCTTAGGCAATCCAGCACTTCCACTAGTATACATTATAACTGCAACATCAGCTGAAAGAGGTAAATTAGCATCAACAGGATTTTCACAGCCAACTCTCTCGACATCAGCAAAAGAAGTGATTGTCCATCTACCACTAGCACTAGTTGGAATCTCATCGTCCATACAGATCACACGTTTGACAGTGTCAAGTTGCCCACTAATGTTGACAAGCTTTTTTAGTTCTTTGTTCCCACAAATTACTGTTGTAACTTCAGTCTGGCAGGGCAAAGATTGTATAAATAAATGAATATGAGTAACAAGTGTGGAAAACCATAAAAATCTTTACTAGCCAATTAACCCAGTGAATCACCACTTTTTCCACTTGATTGTATATTATAAGATGGAGGGAATACTGTTGTGATGTATGGTTACCTCACTAGCCTTGTGAAGAGTGTACTACCAACATAACACCTTAAGCATAAATATATCAATTCTAATAAGCTTAATGATATTATATTTTGGACATGAATAAAAAGAAACTTAGCAAATATTATTGAAAATTTAATAAACTACCTGCACACCCTTAACAATTTAACTAAACATGTAACAAATAAGAAAACACAATTCACCAATGAAGCAAGCAAATTGAGAACAGATTAGTTTCTTAAGGATTGATCAAACATATGCTGACAAGTAAAACTTAACTATTTTGCACAAAATAATATTGATTTTGTTACTATATTCAAATATAAAAGTATAATTTTTGTTGAGCAGGAAGTGGTAGCTAAGGAAGAAAGAAAGTTTGTGAAAATAAAAACATGTGCATATATATATATATATATATATATATATATATATATAGAAAGAGAGAGAGAGGACCTCATTTAATGAGCGACATAAAGCCTCCTCCCCTAAAGATGCATATATTGTCACCACAGTGACATTGCGCCTAAAGCATGCCTGAAAAAGGGACCTGTATCAGTTATATTCTCTAATCCATGGAAGGAAAAGGAAGGAACTGGCATGAGTTACACCTCAGTTAAAACAGAAAACTAAAAGGCTTGAAAATTAAAAAGAAACTTTCAGAAGATAAAGTAAGACCTGCAGTGCAATGAACCATTCTTCTCTTGTATCAGCAAAGATTGCCACACGTTCTTCCTTTCTATGACAGAGTTGAACCATTCCAGAAGCAAAATTGCACACAGCTTCGAATGCTTTCCCATATGTCAACCATTCATATTCTCCCAAATGAAGCTTCTCAAAGGATCTTCCATCTTCAGGTACTTTAACCTCCCTTGAAATCAATTTTCTAGTTCCAAGCAAGCGTTTATGGTAGTGTAGCTTACATGCCTGCTCAAAAAGTTCTGCAAGAGTGGATATACCTTCCCATGCTGTTTCAACAGGGGATGGAAACTGACTGTTTCGGATTGCATACCCAGGTTCTCCACCTACATCAACAGGCACCCCTCTCTTCTTCACCTTCTTTGAATTTCGAAGGAGAAGCGTAAAAGCAATAGGGACAAGCGCACCAACAATATAACCACTCATATTTATAGGATTTTGTGCCCTGGCAGTATCTGCCTCTTTCAGTTCTCCTGAAAACAGAATCAAATCCAACCATGACCATTAACCAAAAATGAGTACCAGAAATATTAAAAGTCCTTTTTCTTTTTTTTTTTTTTTTTTTCTAAATACCTTAGGAAAGTAGAACGTCTGCTACATTGCAATAAACCAAATAGAAACTAGCAGGGGAAAAAAAAGCCAAAACCACAAGAAAGTTTTTTTCCTCATAACAAAAGCAAACCTTGGCCAGCTGCCAGCCAATCCAAGTATGACAAAGTGCACATACAACTGCATAGCAAGAGAGAGAGAGATCACTTTGTTTTAACATGATTAATTGCTACCAAATAAGCAGCTTATAAGGAAACACAGCCATGGGCATAGAACAAAATCAAAGGTCCTGGTATCATTATCACCTTCATAACTCAGCATTGTTGAAACCAAGCAAGCACAATGCTGATTTTTTACATATACATAACTAAGATATGCTAGTATTATACTATTTAACACCCCATATTCTGGGGGCTAACTTCCCTCAAAACGGAGTTTCCTGGTTCCTAAACCGTTTTAGATGTTACCACAAAATATTTTTTATGTGTCTGCTTTTAAGGAACCAATCATCATAAGGAAATTAAAAAGAGAAACACAAGACTAAACAAACATTACATTAATTCCATCCTCAAAATTTCACTGAAATAAAGAAAAGGGAAAATGCAGTTCATTGAATCAAAGAACCCACATAGTCAATAATGGCAAAAGAAAAAAAGGAAATATCAAAACAAAAGGGTAACATTAAAAAAATAATAATAAAACAGCCAAACAAGAAAACCCATTGGAGTAAACACGCGCATGATCAAAAAATACCTTCAAATTCTGGAAGCTGTAGCTGAAATATTTGGGGAAACAAAGGGACCCAATTCAAGTGATCAGCATTACAAGAAAACCAAAATAATGGGGTGTTCAACAAAAAAGGGGTTTCAGTTTTTCTTTCAAATAAGAGATCTAAAGGAGAACGTTTGAAACACAGCCGTGTCAACCGAAATGTGGGTGTTTAAATTTGGGCGGAAAGATCGAGAACGAAAGAAGTTGGAGCCTCAGTACTCAGAAGTAGTTTACTCTGAAAAGTGTACTTGCTTTATACGTTCCTTTTTTTTTTTTTGTCTTTTGTTTTTTTGTTCGTGGTGGCATAAATTGTTATTGGGTAGAACTCAGGAGTACTTGTCAATAGAAGGTGACAAAAATCAAATTTGATTTTTATAATAATTTAAATAAATTTGATTTTACATTTTTTAAAAAATAATTTTATTATAAAATTATTGTTAAGTGACTGATACAGCAATTATTTTTTCTAAAATAATGAAATAATTTTCTAAAATAAAAAAAAAATCCATTGAACATCCTCAACCTATATCCAAACAAAAGAAATGTCCTCAGTGAATCAGGGTGGTGATATCTAATCAAAATCACCTTACCTGATTAACTTAATCATTTTGCAACGAATTACAAAGTCAGGGATTTGATATAAACTTTCTATAAAACAACAAAAATTACTATCTCTAAGTTACTTTGTCTCAACTCTATGGGTAACCCGATGAGAATAATGGTTAAAACTGAAAGCATAACCCATTAAAAACTAAAGATAAGGATACGTGTTTGTACAATGGTTTAGTTTGAGGCTGATCTTCCATTTGTATGTTGAGTGTTTCCATGAGGGGATGAGCCTGAGAACATTTCCATCACAGACCTGAAAGCTCCAGTTAACTCCTCTGGGATTTGCATTTGATCACCAAAATTCAAGTTGATGTTCCCACCTATTCTTATTCCTGGTTCTTCTGATCCATTCACGTTGATGTCTTCCCCCCGCCTGTTTTGAGACGGTTGTCCCTGATATGCACTTCTAGCCATATTCATAAGCATGCTCGCAATGTTGGTGGGAAGGGCACTTGTGTCGAAAGGCATTGTAAATGGAGGTGATGATGTCCTTGATTCAGTTGAATGGTTATTAGATCCTTGATCATCTTGACTTGAACTAGCACTCTGTAACATGGGATTAAAAAATGGACAGAAAATGAGCCGTTGTGGAGAAAATGAAAAAATTATCTCTCTTCAGAAAGGGAAGGGAAGAAATGCAAGAAATCATTTCACAATAACATCCAAATAGCAAATATTCTTAAGAATAACCGGACAGTAAACAAAATGCGTCCCATTTTCAAGGGGAACAGGCTTCTCTGTTTAAGTATCAAAAGGAAAGGTGGTAAACTGGTAATGCATATTATTGGCATGTTAATTACAATGGACCAATTTTTCAGTTATTAAACAACTAATAGATCATATTACCTGATCCCACTCTGCCCTCTGCTGCTGATCTTTCAATTTCTGCTCGGCTACCTGCATATCACAATCAGAATGAAAAGACAAAGCACCACAATAACAATGTAAGTAAAGGAACACTGAACCCTACCCGAATATTTTCTTTCACAGATTCATTGTTTGGGTCCAATTGCAAGGCTGCACAAGTTGAACGAAAAAAATTTAGAAACTACATTATATGACAGCATAAAGAATCTACAACCATCAATCTCTTATTGATATGGTCAAAGAAATAACAGGACTCGAGAAAATCTGGGAGTTTTCTTTAACTGAGAATGTAATGTAATCCACACAAAGAGAAATACTGATGATTTATATCCTCAATTTGGATGTGTCCATGATTAAACATAAAAGTTAAACACAATAAACTGAAGACTGGCTAATAAAATGATGCAAAATGGTGTCTACTTTAGCATGGATCAAACTTTAGCTTCTACAAAAGATCCAATATCAATTGACTAATTTCTAAAGTGCAAACTAGCCACAGAAATTGGTCAGTTTACTGTATATTCAGGTGCTGTACAACAAGGCAAATTGCATCTCCCAAAGAGGCAGAGAGAGAGGTGAAATTGGCAAACTACATAAATGGATAAGACCGTGGACTCACGAAAAGCAGATAGAATAATACAAAGTATCAAGAAAGCTGAAAAATACATGGATACAGAAAAATAAAAAATTGATGCTGCTGCCATCCTTTCTCAGTACAACAGTAACATTGTCTATACTCAAATAATTTCCCACCAACCTTTCTTAAATCCTTTCTCAATCGCATCAGAATAGTTGCCTTGAGCATAATATGCTAAACCAAGACGACTGTATGCCTTGCTATAATCTGGGACAATTTCAATGGATTTAAGACAGTCTCTAATGGCTTCATTGTACTTGTGAATTTGAGTATAAGCAGCTGCCCTGATAAGCATACATAGTAATTCAATTAGACATTACAGTTTCATGAAGATAAATATCTGCAAATGTTGAAAACTTGTTGCAATCAAATAACAGAAATAAGTATATTTCTAAAAATTACTAGAAACCAAACATTAACAAGAACCAAAATTTCTAAATCCCAAAATTATCACGAAATAATGAACAGAAAAGACAAGTTTACTACTTCTAAAAGTCAAAGCCTAAAAGCTTTTACAGGATTCAGTGACATCGGTAGAATGAGCTAATAGAGCATGAATAACGTGGTGCAGCAGGATTAAGGGTTATCCTATCTTTTGGTAAGCAAAAATTAACTGTTGATCAGTCTAATATTATTTGCCAAAAATCCATCCATTGCACTTATTATACTTCTCTTCACAAACAAACAAATTGATAAACACTTAATGAATAAATATGGTAAATTGAACAGATATATATCAGATTATCAGCAGGTAAAAATAATTCTGCACCTATTACAATAATAAACTGCATTATCATTGCAAAGAGAAACAGCAACAGAATACAGCTCTATCGCATCAGAGTATAGCTTTGACTGCATTGCCCTGTTACCTGAAAGCAAAGACAATATAATAAACAAGAGACCAGCTTTTACAGAGAATGAACACAGCAAGATATTCTAAAAATCATGCTACCAAGATAACAGAATTGATTGTTATCATATTGACATTTCTCATGCAATAATTATTTAAAAAAAAAAAGATTCATTTTTAAAGCAGAGAGAGAGAGAGAGTACATTATACGGTGGTAATAGGGTGAGTTGGGTAGTTTTAGGTATTGAATTCTCCGAGTGACTTTCGGTTTGGGTCGTTAACTTTTAGAGTCAATTGAGGATAGACCTGTCACATTTCGGCCTGGCAGGTTTGATGAGTCTTTCAAGTTCATGTCAACTTTTGCCACATTTGGCTCAACAAGGATATAGTAATTGGGTTCAAGTCATTGACTTTTTTAGCAAAACATCGTGTTAGACGGGCTGGGTTACAAGCAAGTTGATTGGTTTGGGTCTTTTAAAGCCTCTACTTCATGACTACAACAAATCAACAGATAAAGCACACACAACTTAGACAAAGAAAGAAAAGAACAAAACTCTCTCAAACTCTCCAAATAACGAACACGCTAAAATAAAGGTTACAGATTTAAAGCACTAACTGCCAAGAAAACAAAAGGCATACAAATTCTTTTTTACCTTGACATTTAAATGTCTCAGCCAGGTTTTTACAGTCAAATGCCTGACATCCAGATCTTTCCATCTCCTGATGTGCCAGATAATTGATATTAATAAAGGCACAACAGAAGGTAACTTATATCTTAGAAAGTAAAATTAAAACATGACAATAACCATATTAGCAAAAAATTATCTAAACTGAATGAGAATATGATGAAAAAGATCAAGTCCCAAACTGTCTAGATATAATAATCAGAAGAAATCCACCACAGATTCTCATACTAAGTTGCTTCAGTTAGGATAAAGATCATTACTACTGCATAAATCCATGCCCTGGTGGAACATTCATGATCATTATAGCCCATCACAATGACCTATCCTTGAATACCAGTACCTCACTCATGAAAAAGACTCGGCAGAATTTACCTACATGCTGACTTTCAGTCAAGTCTCTACAAAGACAGACCAGAAATTTTATTGTTTAATTCCTTAAGCCAGTAATTTAGCCATTTAATTTCAGCACCAGAGAATTTCCCTTCTGACCGTTCTTCAGTGAAGATACTAAAAATGAGGAACAGAAAATCATCTTAAATGACCTGCCCCACATAATTCAGCTAATTTATTTTCTGTGTATAATGTAGTCAAAGCATGGGTCCAATATGAAGAAACTAATTGAAATGGAATGCGGACAATCTAACACTAAAGCAGAATCCATGAGGCAAATCTGTAGATATCTCAATAAGAACCGTCAGTTTGTAACAATTAATTTAAGCAATAATAACCATCAACTAGTGCCAATTCACCATTGCAACAGGTTTAATATATAACAGAGAAAAACATACATTTAGAGCATCTTGAAATAAACAAGTAGCTTTATCCAGTTGGGCAGGATCATCATTCCCATCAGGGGTGGCCCTAAAAAAGTGAATTTTCTCTAGTGCAGCAAAGAATTGCCCAAAGAGTTCATCGTCAGAGACCCCTGCAAGTAACATCAGTGTCAAATTAGAATTATTTTATATAACCTAAAGCATTCAAATAGATAATCTAAACCCTATGATTAAAAATTCTAAAATGTGTAATTATGAAGATAAATAGCATCATCATACCTGCCAGCTGAGGTTCCCTTGTCCAATTATCCCCCTAATTCAGCAAAATGGACAGCAATCGTATTAGAGAGAACGAGACAAAATCATAATGCCCAAATACATGGAAAGAAACAAAACAAGTGCTACAAAAGATGAATATTGCAATATTATGAATGCCTCCAGAATGTCATGTGAGCTTTAATAACTTGTAGCTGCATATTTTGATAATTCAAAGCAATATTTTACAGACATATATCTATGCTATCATAAGATTTTAAGTTCCGTTTTTAAAGATCGCAAAATCAAATTAGGGGTCATCATTCATAAGAAGCAATTAATTTGAAGATTTTTCTCCCTTTTTTTTTGTTCTTGTAAACTTGCATATTGAATAAAATGCTAATCTAAAAGTTGAGAGAAAATTGGAGCATAAGCATAGCAAAACCACTGCAAATTTAATTCAAGAAAGCAAAATGGTCAGCCTCTATAATGCCTAGAGATTACCGTTTTACATAGTAAGAGGCAAGGAATTCAAAAATGAGTAATCGGAATATTAAGGCTTCATAATTACTTCTGCAAAATAAAGTTCTAAATGTAATTGTTATTGCAGTAGTATCCAGAACAGTAGTAGTAACAATAATAATTCCATTACGAAATGACCATATGCGTGCTTCAATACATGTTATATACTCTCCTTTTACCCAAAAAGATCCCTCCTTTTACTTTTATCAATACACGTTATATACTCTCTTTTTACCCAAACAGACCCTTCCTTTTACTTTTATCAAACATCAAGCCAACTAGAACTATTTGCATCCAAATTTGATGTGAGAATCCATCAGATCCCCACTATTGCCAAAATATTGCCCCAAATAGAACACCACTAGAACACCACCCTTTTATTGATGATAAGGAAAGAGATCCATTTGCAGAGAAAATCTTCCTTATTAAATTGTAGATGACATAATCATGAAGTTAAATTCTAAAGCCAAATATACTTTAAATAAATTTTGCAAAAAGAGGTGGTAGAAAAGGTACCAGTTTTGATGCCTCCAAGGAATTAGCACCTCTGACATCATGGGCAGATGACAAACCTGAAGCATTATCAGAAGTTCCCCTGTGACTTAGATCTGATTTATTCAGATCCTCGCTTGCTTCAAATGAACTGAATATGTCAACTAATACATCAGGTTTCACATCATTTATAGAAGCTGAGTCAAGTTTAAACACCTCTGCCAAACATTCCCTGGCAACTTCAAGGCCTTCAATATCAACCCCCGGAGCAGGTTCAACTATTTTACAGAAAACAGAACCATCAATAGAAAATGATTTAACAAGTTAAACAAACACTGTAAATCAAAAAGCATGTGATAGTGAAATGGGTAGAAGAGGATTAGGGCCACAGAGAACAGATAATTGTTTCACAGTCAAAAAAAGATTCCTTTAAAGCTTTATCATGCTCACATTCTGCCTACATTGAATTGTTTACTGCAACACCCATTATTCATACAATTTTTTTTTCTTTTCGACCTATTACATTCCATTAAACTAAGCAAGTTTTTACTTCATCTAGGAATTTACATTTCTTAGATTGTACAAAACCCACTTCCCAACAATAATAGAATTTTTCTTTCTAAAAGCCACAATCAATTAGCAAACAAGCTAATTTCACTCTTGCAAAAATCAAGAACAATCCAAAACAAAATGACTTTTAAGATAAAGCAAAAAGAAAAGAAAATGAATTAATGAGAAACACTCAGCTACCCTAATTGATGGATAAAGTATGAGAAAATTACTGTATAAATTCAGAGATGAGAAGAGAGTACCAGAGTTGAGGAAATCTAAGAAGGAGCGAACGATGCGACGAGAGAGGGGAGAATTGGTCTTTAATTTACCCATCCAATTCGCGAAGAGAGCGTTGCGTAACCGGCTTCTGTTTTCTTTATGTTTTCGTCTTAGACTTCAATTATTGTCTTGGAGTTGAAACAATTGGTGTAATCGGATGTAAAGGGTATTCTTTTCTTGCCGATGGAACCAGATTAGGATAGGATTCTCTTCCTAGTTTTTACGTGTTGTTTGTTTCACTTAGAAGTATTATTTACAACTGTGGATGTATTTCCTTAATAATGTCTTTAAATCAGTATTCCGGCAGTAGAAAAATAAGTTTTTTGCATCAGCTTAATTTTTAATTGTGAAATAAAACTATTTATACAATACATACTTGGATGGTTCTGTTTATCAACAAACTAAGGTTATTAATTATCATAGCTATTAGGGTTTATAGGAATAGTTTAAAATAGTTTCAACGTGTTGGGTTAATGTGGCATGTCACACCACAAAAGTTCAGCTTGATTACGAATTTACGATAGATGTTTTAAGTTCAGATTTTTTTTAACCTCATTTTTTATTATTTACAAAAAAAAAAAAAAAAAAGGCAGGAGAAGAAAAAGTCGTCAAAAGGCGATTACAAGCAGAAGTCAGTGAAACCAGTGGCCAGTGCATTTGCTCTTTTTCTCAACGACTACAGCTGCAATTTATACTTTCCTTCTCCGAGTTCTTCTTGCAGCCTGAAATAAACCGACACAAAATACGTTAAAACGACTAACACCGGCTGTTTGGAAAATTCGGCTGTCTCTGGGCCTGTGCAGGAACTATTTTAGGATTCTTAGATAAGATACAGTTACTTGTTTCCTTTTAGTTTATGTCTCAGAAACAAAAACCAGATACAAAATGAATGAACATAAGAACTGCGTAAATGATGGTGCTCACAGCGTCTTCATCTATGTTGATAATTTCTGATGCTGATGATGAATCTCTGGACAATCCTGGTTCCTTCTTTTTCTTTTCTGAACCAGAAATTAATCAACTGTCCATAAATTCAAATGACTAAAGCCTTTGATTGCCATGCCAAAGTTACAAAGGAAAAAAGTTAAAATAGATAATAAATGTAAAGGTAAATTACCGGGCAGCAGAACTTTTCTGCTTGGAAATTTTCCATCCTCCATATTTAATTTTGTATTTGACTGTTGCCTGGCATCATCTCTAAACTTAGCATGTGTGTCTTTTATACTACTGAGAGCAGAATGCATAAAAGGATTGCAAAAAGCAGCAATTGAGTAACATAAAACCACGCAAAAGAAAGGATATATGTATACTTAAAAAATAAGTGCAAATCTCGATTCCATAGCTATCAGCTTTAATACTCATTCGTGAAATATTCAGCCCAAAAAAAAAAAATCCTTCATTGATTAAATCAGAAATATTTATGATGGTCAAAGTGGGAAAAATCCTTTATGAGTAGAAGAATATCAAAACAAAAGCAAGCACCAAGCCAAATTTTTGCAAAAAAGATGCTAGTTGGTTAAAATGGAAACAAGACTACCGACAGAGCGCACATACAAGGGAAAAGTATTAATTTATCTGGTTTTTCGTAGCTTAAGCATTAAGAGATCAACTCACCATTGCTGAAAATGCAAGGCGTTTGGCTTTTCTGAAAGTACAACCTCCTTGCAATGGAAAAAATGGACAGAATAAGATTAATAGGATCCACTCACAAAGAGAGATGAACAATGAAGGATCAGAAAGTGATGCTGCAAAACTCATGCTTTAAATGGATGGAAAACAATGCAGGATTTAACAATAAGAAAATCATTGTTCTAAAAATTTTTTTAGCATTCTTTAGTTTTGTTGCAATTTCTAATTTTCAATGTTACAGGATTAATTTGCCAATAACCTCTTGCTTTCATGCTAAACAGCCATTTAAGGTAGGCACCACATCCTCTAAAGCAAAAACCCCTTCCCTCCCTAGTTCTCCATCAAAATAACAATAATAAGGACAGAAGAATAGGGTTGATTTCAGTACAGTATTCAAAGCAGATCTAATTCTAACTAAACAGACTTTGTATGCAAATGAACACAGATTCCAATTCCTCTACAGCTTTCTAACTTTAACATATGCTTGAGTCAACAGTTTGAAGCTGGATTGAATCACACTGAAATTTGGTAACCTGGAATTGACTTTAGAATGGCATTTCCTATGAGATTGGTACTTGTTTCATTAACTGTGACAACAGAACCGATATTGAAGGATGACATTGGCTGCTTTCTGGGGGCTTGTTGCAAATAGTATGTGCTTTTTTCATGAGTTGCCATTTATGCTTTAAGGATGCTTGACAGAATGCAATAAACCGTCTGCTTGTTACCTGATTATTTAGCCTCACTAGACTTGAATTAGTTGATTTCTAAGTTATGAATACAAAACTTGGAGTTCTTGTCCTTTTTGGAAGGGTTCATATTGGGTATGCTTTGGGATCTCTTTTCGTTGAAGTTTGTATTTCAACAACATTTATTAATAAAATTATTTTGCTTTTCAAAAAAAACAACAAAAAGTTTGAAGCTGAAAAGAAAGACTCTAGCTATCACACTTACCCTCTCTGTCAAGGAACAGTCACTTATTGTCTCCCAGCTCTCACTGTCCAAGCATAATATTTCAACTTCCCCACTATCACATGTGATCTGTCAATTGCAAGGAAACAAAAATATAACCAAAACTGGGTTACATTAGTCTTGATTGAGTGAAGCATGCCTTTCTTTGCTTTTGAGTTTCTTTTCTTTTCCTTTTTGTGTGTGTGTGTGTGTGTGTGGGGGGGGGGGGGGGGGGGGTGGAAGGAAGTTCACTAATGCTGGCATATCACATTTTATAGCTAATTAAGAAAGCCAACAAGATAAAACAATAAGTTCTACCAGAAAGAAAATTTAAACTTACAAGTTTGTGCCGTTAAGTTATAACTCAAACTGAATAAATGATGAGTATGAACATTTCAGTTCTAAATCAGAGAAACCTCATCAACTCACCACAGCTTAGCAAGTAATTCCTCGGGTTATAGTCCTAGAATATAGGGGTTTTCAACTTATTGGTTCCACATAGAGTTGTAACATGTCTTTAAGCCATTAGAGTCAACCAAATACATCAAACCAACAGACTGAATTAAATGTCTCACATTGTTGTAATACTGCTCCTGAAATTTCTATTAGAGAGCAAACAAACACTCCACTCACTAACGATATTTACAATCATTTACCTTGTGACTGTTGTTTTCAGGGTTAAAATCATCCACATTGCCTGAATAGAAACTGAAAAATGAAAAAGCAACAAAAATCAGTACATACTTAAAAGATTGCTGAAATATTAATACATATCTCCTTTGTACAAAGGATGCTCACCAGCTATCAGTGGTAGACCATACTTTGATCCGCTGTCCAATTAATACCTCATTTGCATTAGCCAATTCCTGTTTAATTCAAAATTACATTTAGTTTAGGTAGGATATCAAAAGGCAGAAAGCTAAAGTTACAATTGCTCTCAGTTAGAGAAAAATCTTACTTTTAAACTAATAGGAATATTGAACTTCACTCTGCGACCATTGGAAGCTTCAGCAGAACGGCTTTTACCTGTCCCAAAATTTCCTTTAAATATGTTACTTCCTTCAAATTTCTGAGTTGAAACTTGTGGTTCTGTTTGAGAAGGTTTCTGAGTGACAGAACCAGAAGAAGAAAAGGGTTGGACCTTTTTCTAAAGCTGCTTCAGAAATGATACCTGCACCATATTCCTGCTCCTCATTAACCTTATTGCATGATCCATCAGATCCCAGTGCATTTGGAGAAACAGCAAGCCTTCGCCTATGTTCCAATCTGATGTCCTCCCTTGTAGATTTCTTATGCGTTTCAAGTGCCTCACAAGGTGAGTGATCAACATGCTTGCATAATACAATGTTCAAAGTACCATCATCATGACACTTTCAACCACGTTTATGAACAGAGCCAACTGGCTGAAACATAGATGCAATTAACAATCTCCAATGGAATTGTGTGCATGTCTGTGCACACATGAATAACATTCAAATGTAAATTTCATCAAAATATTAATCATGTCAATCATATGATCAATTTCATACACACCTGAGAGACTTGAGAATTGAAAATGTGAACGACCCTCTCAACAAAACTTTGCTTAAGAAATTTCAAATTACGCTGCATACAACTAAATTAGAATTTTGGTACAATATTTTACATGCAGAGAAGAAAACATGTCACTGGGAACTTGCCTCTTCACTTTCCATAGGAGTTATTTTATATAATGATGATGGAAGCAAAATCGTTCCAGGCATGCGTGAAGAGGAGATGCCATTTTGATTTAATGAATTTACACCAGAAATTCCAATGTCAGCTAGAAAGTGCAGCCTCTGCAGTGTAAGAAATCACATTATTCTCAAAAAACTTCTCCTTGTGTCAATATTAAATGCATTATTAACCAAACAAAGATATCTCAAAAATTTTTAAAATCTCACAGGAGTTCTCTGAGCATCAACAGCATCCTTAGCTCTTTTAATAGCACGAAATATATAATTCAAATAGAAAGCAGCATCGTTAACAAGATCCAAATCACCACTACTGACACTAGAGTTGATTGATGCATGTAAGAACAAAAGAAGTGGACTGCAAAAAGGGAAAAACTACCATCACCTAAATTGACAATTACATCCACGTTTAGTTCTAGGTAAACCAAATTTCAAAAGCTTGACTTGTGACTAACGCTTACCGGCAAAACTGAGCATATGTTGCTTCATCCTGACAATCTTCAGATGGGAAATCTGCATCATGCACAAGAAGATGGATCAAGAATACCACTATGTATGCTGGGTAATCCACAATTGACCCTCCCTGCATGATAGATGTTTGGCGCATTCGAGCTTCTCTACTGTACCCCTTGATAAATTCCGCCATATATTTGAATGACTAAAAGGATAAATTGGTTGGTATAAATTAGTGAAAAGCAAATAATATAATTACTTTTACAAGATATATCAGGAATAAAAAAAGCATACATCATGCTGTAGATCATTGGGGGAATCAGAAGTGGCCAGAGTAAAGGAACAAGCATATCTTATAGGAATAACATGTTCCTTCAACAGCTTGTGTGTTTTATCAAGAAATGATCTCCTCACAAAAGAAGAAGAATCCTGGAAAATGACAGAATAAAATAATTTACCAGAAATACAAAGATATGACTGAAAAGTAACAATTATTTAACAATTTGAAGAAACCTGAAAGCTGAACTATGAAGAAAGAAACATGACAAGTGAATGACACAAACTTTCCAGGAAATGCAATACAGTAGTAGTGGATGTAACCATTACAAGCAGCGAGCTTAATCTACAATGATTTTCATCTAAGGGATTTGTGTCACATAGACAAATGACATGCTCAGGAGAAATGCTGCATATTTAATTCCTTTAGCTGCAAGGCATAAGTCCTCAAACATTGAGTGCATCTAACCTCGATCATAAAATTAAAATGTAAACTTGCATAAAAAAATTAATGCTTGGTACTCTCTTTAGTGCCATCAAAAGAAACAAATTATCAGCTGAAAATCTTTTCGGACCTTATGTATCAAAGATTTGTGTAACCATCATATTTAGTAGCATGTCACAATGCCAAAATAATAAAATATGTAAGCTATGCGAAAATAAGTACTACAAATATGAAAAGATAGCAAAGTACATTCTTATCATTTAGCATTATATAGAAAAAGATAAATCAAGAGGCACATTTTACTTTGTTATAGGATTTGAGAGAAGTACTTACAATTCCAATTGCTAATTTACAAATCAATATTGGCAAGTTTAATTTTGCTCTAGCTGAATCTTTTACATGATTACTTCTACTCCATCGAGAGTGCCTAGATCAAACCTAATTACCTTTGCCATCAAAATTGTGAAACGAAAAATATCAGGAGAAATATATACGTCCCATCTTCTAGAAAGCTGGAGAACAGATTTTGCAGCAGCCAATCTGATATAAGCCTCATCTCTTGCGCTACATTCAACATAAAGTCAATGCATGAACAAAAAGGAAAGGTTGCCAATATATCTCTGAAAACAATGACTCACTTAAAATCTATATCTGAAGTAACAGTTTTCTAATCTGAATTTTACCTTGCTTTATTTTGTAGATAGCTAGCCTAGATATCTTCATTTCTACAAAATTATGATACTCTTTAGAAAGAAAAAGGTATCTTATGCACAGTGACTACTCTTTCAAAGCAGTCTGATCAATTTCAAAAGAAAACCAATGCTTACATTGACAGCAGTCATTGCAACATTCTCTGAATCTTGGTCAAATGTTAGTATCCAATAAACTTTTGTCAAATATTTGTGTTAACATATAATGCTAAAACATGTCAGGAACATTCCTCTACTGAATCAAAACTCATAGGTGTAAACCTTTTGAAAAGAAAAATGAAACAAACATCTTAGAAGATGTCCCAAAACCCCAGTATTTAGAACTTAGGGCTCCATCTTGGAAGTCTCAAGTTCTAATCTTGGCAAAGGGGAGGTGGGTTTATGGGATGGGAGAGTACTACCTCCCTTTGTGTAGCCCAAGGCCCTATGGATCTCTATATATACTACCAAAAAGAAAACATAGAAGATATTAATACCAAAACCTCTAGAAGGCTGATTCTAGAAGCAGTAGATAAATGCAATTAGTTTCTTCACGGCTGAAACATACCAAACATGTCATCCACCCTTGCCTTCAAACTCAAAAGCCAAGAACGGGTGCAAGTAAATGAATGCATTTATTCAATAGCTAGTCAGCGACCTTGGTTTAGGCCAGTTTATGTTTGTTTATTTATATAAATCAACAAATTTGAAAGTGTGGGAAAACATTTATTTACAGCTGATTGTAATCTTGTAATCTGTATATTTATATTTGTATCTCTAGAATTAAGTATTTGTATCCCTAGAATTAAGGAAGATTTAGTTTCCTAGTTTAACCCCTAGTTAGTTGTATATAAACCTAAGATTCTTGTATAATTGAAAATAAGCAGTTTTTCAATATACATTCAGTTTCCACAGAAAGCATCTCAAGGCTTTTTAACAAGTAAGCCAAGATTGAACATAGTTGAACTCTGGCACATTTGGGTTTTTGAACAAGCTTTTTTAACTTATGTGTGGTTCTTTTTGTGAGAAAACATTTATTTACAGCTGGTTGTAATCTTATAATCTGTATATTTATATTTGTATCCTTTAGAATTAAGTATTTGTATCCCTAAAATTAAGAACAAAAAATTAGGATAGACAATTACTCAATTATAGGATCAGTTTTTAGGAAGATTTAGTTTCCTATTTTAACCCCTAGTTAGTTGTATATAAACCTAAGGTTCTTGTATAATTCTTAATTAGCAATTTTTCAATATACATTTAGTTTTATTCTTAGTTTTTCACACAATTTTATTTCTTAGTTTTTTCACATGGTATCAGAGCTTTAGACTCTTCTTGGGAAGCAAAATTTTCAGCCTTCATTGCCAAACCCTGTTTAGGCCTTCATTGTCGAACCTTGTTAATGCCTTCATAGCCATTTTATTTTTCCCTTCTTTAGCCTTCATTGCTAAGAGTCATTTCTGGTTATATCTTAAAACTTGTTTAAGTTTAAAGAAAGATATCACTACCACCCAATTTAAGGAAATGTCAACTGAAAAAATCACCAGAGTACTACAGATGTCTCAGAAACAATGAGAGTTCGACAAAAAAAAGATTGAAAAGCTGAGAAACCTATTAAAAACCCTTGAAAAGCCTACTGTGGTATGTTCTTTGGATAAAGTCTCTAGTTCAGGTAAAACTTCTAGTTCTCATGGATTAAATGTCTCGGTTAAACCTATTACGAGTTCCTGGGTCATTGACTTTGGAACCACAGACCATATGACACATTCCTCACAAAAGTCTAGTACATATACCTTGTGTTCTAGTAATAAGAAAATTGTTGTTGCAGATGATTCACTTACAACAATGGCAGGATTAGGAGATGTTCAAGTTAATCCTTCATTTGTTCTAAAAAATGTTCATGTTCGTGGATTGTCTACTAATATGATCTCTATACAAAAACTTACCAGAGATATGAATTGCAAAGTAACTTTTTATCCCTCTTATTGTGAATTTCAAGATCGAAGTTCCAAGAAGAGGATTGGACTTGCTAAGGAGAATGATGGACTATATTATCTTGAGACATCAAATAACACAAGTAATGTTAAGAATAGTTTACCTTTGTCAATTCTTTCTGAAAAATCTTCCAATAAAAGCAAAATTTGACTTTATCATTTTCGTCTTGAACATTTTTTTTTTGAAACTTTGAGAAACATGTTTCCTTCTTTGTTCAAAGGATTAAGTGTCGAAAATTTTCATTGTGATGTTTGTGCACTTGCAAAGCACAAACGTGTCTTTTCCAATTAGTAACAAAAGAAGTTCTACTCCCTTTTACTTGATTCATAGTGACATTTAGGGTCCTCTACAATTCCTAATATTTCTAATGCAAGATGGTTTGTTTCTTTCATAGATGATTGTACCAAGGTCTCTTAAGGTTTTTTACTAAATCCAAATCAGATGTGAATAGTGTGTTTTTAAGCTTCCAAAACATAATCCAAAATCAATTTAGAGTGAGAATAAAGAGATTTAGGTTTGATAATGCAAGAGACTATTTCAACCAGAGTCTATCCACCTATTTTCAAAATGAGGGAATTATCCATGAGTCATCTTGTGTTAATACTCCACAACAAAATGGAGTGGCAAAGAAGAAAAACAGCCATTAACTAGCCACAACCTGAGCCTTCCTTTTCCAAGCAAATGTACCCAAATCTTACTAGGGGGAAGCTATTCTCACTACCACACACATAACTAGGTTACCTTGAAAGGTTTTAGGATTTAAAACTGTGGGAAAACACTTATTTACAGCTGGTTGTAATCTTGTAATCTGTATATTTATATTTGTATCTCTAGAATTAAGTATTTGTATCCCTAGAATTAAGGAAGATTTAGTTTCCTAGTTTAACCCCTAGTTAGTTGTATATAAACCTAAGATTCTTGTATAATTGTTGATAAGCAGTTTTTCAATATACATTCAATTTCCACATGGTATCAGAGCTTTAGGCTCTTATTGGGAAGAAAAATTTTCAGCCTTCATTGCTGACTTTTTTAAGCCTTCATTGCCGACTTTTTTAGGCCTTCATTGCCGAATCCTGTTTAGGCCTTCATTGCCGAACCCTTTCAAAGAAAGATATCACTATCACCCAATTTGAGGAAATGTTAACTGAAAAAATCACTGGAGTACTACAGATGTCTCAGAAACAAAAAGAGTTTAACAGGGAAGAGATTGAAAAGCTGAGAAACTTATTGAAAATCCTTGAAAAGCCTACTATGGTATGTTCTTTGGTAAAGTTTCTAGTTCAGGTAAAGCTTCTGGTTCCATGGATTAAATGTCTCGGCTAAGCCTATTACGAGTTCTTGAGTCATTGACTCAGGAGCCACAGACCACATGACACATTCCCCACAAAGTTTAGTACATATAACCTGTGTCCTAGTAATAAGAAAATTGTTGTTGCTGATGGTTCACTTACCACAGTGGCAGGATTAGGAGATGTTCAAGTTAATCCCTCATTTGTTCTCAAAATGTTCTTCATGTTCCTGGATTGTCTACTAATCTGATATCTATACAAAAACTTACCAGAGATATGAATTGCAAAGTAACTTTTTATCCCTCTTATTGTGAATTTCAGGACCAGAGTTCGGGGAAGATGATTGGACTTGTAAGGAGAAGGATGGACTATACTATCTTGAGAACATCAAATAACACAAGTAGTATCAAAATAGTTTACCTTTGTCATTTTTTTCTGAAAAAATTTACAATAAAGACAAAATCTGGCTTTATCATTTTCGTCTTGGACATCCTTCTTTTGGAACCTTGAGAAACATGTTTCCTTCTTTGTTCAAAGAATTAAATGTTGAAGATTTTCATTGTGATATTTGCGAATTTGCAAAACATAGACGTGTGTCTTTTCCAATCAATAACAAAAGAAGTTCTACTCCTTTTTACTTGATTCATAGTGACATTTGGGGTCCCTCTACAATTCTTAATATTTCTGGTGCGAGATGGTTTGTTTCATTCATAGATGATTGTACTAGGGCCTCTTGGGTTTTTTTACTTAAATCCAAATCAGATGTGAATAGTGTGTTTTTAAGCTTCCAAAACATGATCCAAAATCAATTTGGAGTAAAAATCAAGAGATTTAGGTCTGATAATGCAAAAGACTACTTCAACCAGAGTCTATCCACTTATTTTCAAAAAAAGGGGATTATCCATGAGTCCTCTTGTGTTAATACTCCACAGCAGAATGGAGTGACAGAGAGAAAAAACAGTCATTTATTAGCCACAACCAGAGCCTTTCTTTTTCAAGCAAATGTACCTAAATCTTATTGGGGGGAAGCTGTTCTCACTGCCACACACATTATAAATAGGTTACCTTCAAGAGTTTTGGGATTTAAAACTCCTATGGAACTACTCTCACAATTTTATCCCAACTTCAATACCACAAACAATCTCACCCCTAGGATATTTGGTTGTACATCATTTGTTCATGTTCACAGTCATAACAGGGGAAAGTTGGATCCAAAAGCGATTAAGTGTATTTTTGTGGGGTATTCTTCAACTCAAAAAGGATATAAGTGCTATCACCCTCCTACCAAAAAATTTTATGTGTCTGCAGATGTCACTTTGAAGAAAATAAACCATTTTTTACTCAACCTTATCTTCAGGGGGAGACTTCATTCATGGAAGATAAGGATAAGGATAAAGACTTCTTTTTGCTTGATTTGCCCCCTTCTTCAACATTTACACCCATTAATTCTTATGAGTCGAAACCTGTTTCTGCTGAGCCCAAGTCAAACATTGAATTTGAGTCTAAATCCATTCCAAATACGAAAAATGTGACAAAGGATAATATTGTTCTTGATTCTATGAAGGAATTACAGGTGTACTCAAGAAGAAAT